GTACCTCTAATAATTGTCATCCTCAATTGCACAACCTCTAGATCCCTTTCATTATGGTATTCTAATGATCATCTTTTACTTGGTGCATCCCTCTCATTTTCGCAAAACTCTTGATTTCATCTTTTTAAAGAACCATAACAACCCTATTTGAAATCCTAAACCTTTTCACTAAAAATCCACTCCGCAAGAAGATTGCAAGTGAAGCAAGAAAACATGTTTGTAACACCCCTCAAATTTAACATCTTAGCAGCTCTACCCCGTGACACTTAACACAACTCCTCGTTGTTAGAATCCTTCACCAGTTAGAACCCTCTTTGGATAATCCTTTTTGAGATGTTAGTCCGCTTTTAGGATCAATGACTAACCCCACAAACCAACATAAGAATTTTTAATGTGTTTTTTTTCCTCACTCGCACTTTCTGAAAAAATTCCTAAAAGGTCATCCATCCCTAAATTACTCAATGTCAAGCATACTTAATTATAGAGTTATTAAGTGATGAACTACAAAGAAGTAGATGCATCTTGTTGGTATAGATAGTACAAATTAAGTCGTTAAGGCCAACCATAATTGTACAAATATTTGGATCTCTGTCATTCTAGTGTGTCTAGCCTTTTACAAGCCCACTAGTTTCTGTCAAGTCCATCCTCGAACCACATTGTATTAGGAGAGAGGACCTGCTTTGATACCATTATAACACCCCTTAGATTTGACATCATAGTATCTCTACTCCATGAAACTTCACACAACTCTTTGATGGTCAAAACTCTTTACCAGTCAAAATCCTCCATGGGTAGCTCTTTCTAATATGTTTATTCGCCTTTAGGATCAACGGCTAACCTCACAAACCAATACAAGACTTTTCATCGTGCTTTTTTCTCACTCGCTCATTTTCTTGGAAACTTCCTAAAAGGTCACCAATTCCTAAATTGCTCCAAGTCAAACATGTTTAACTATTGAGTTCTTAAGTGATGAACTACTGAAAAGTAGATGCATCTTATTGGCATAGTTAGTACAATTAATTCGCTTAAGCTAACCTCAACTGTACAATATCATACTTGTACACCTCTTTAAATCTCTCTCATTTTGGTGTGTCTAGGATGTTACAAGCCCACCAACTTCTACTTGGTTCGTCCCCGAATCACATTGTACTAGGAGAAAGAACTTACTTTGATACCATTATTAACAACCCTCAAATTTGACATCTCGGTGACTCCACTCTATAACACTTCACACAGTGATACTCCACACAACTCCTTGTTGGTTAGAACCCTTCACCAGTTAGAACTCTTCGTGGGTAGCCTTTTTCTAAGATGTTTGTTAGCTTTTAGGATCAATGACTAACCCCATAAGCTAACACAAGATTTTTTAGCGTGTTTTGTTATCATTCACACAGTTTATGGGAAACATCCCAAAAGGTCAACCATTCCTAAATTGTTCAAAGCCAAGCACGCTTAACTGTGGAGTTCTTAAGTAGTAGGCTATTGAAAAGTAGATGCATCTTATTGGTATAAGTAGTACAAATTAATTCCTTTAAGTCATCCTTAACTATACAATCTCACACTTGTACAAATCTTTGAATCTCTCTCATTCTAATGTGTTTGGACTGTTATAATGTTTATTCATGTCAAGTATTTATATGATTAACTAAGAAGAAAGTATACTTGGAATGATTTTTAAGATAGTTTTTATGGAATTCTACAAAGCTATCATACATGTAAGTTGTGATTATGAAAATGTAAAAATCATTAACGTTGTGTTTGCATGTATTAATTATTTTTTAAAATATTAAATTTCCAAAAAAATTGTAATGTATTACCTTACACGTATCCGTTCACTTGTGATTGACAATGAATCGGGCTAACTAGATAATTTGATATTCAATTTGATAATCAATCTGTCAGATTTCGTTCATGAACCAAATTAGTTGAACTTGAGTTAAAATTTATGCTCGTTAAATAATTGAGTTGAGATTAAACTACATATATATAATTAAAGATGGCAATGGACATATACTATAATACTCATTTCTAAACCCATATTTAAAATTAATAATTGTGCCAAACTCTATACCCGCACTAAAAACCTACATTTTTATACTTATATACAAGGTTAATAATAATAAATCAATAAAAATTATTGCAATAATTACTAGAATAATGTTAAAAATTCTTTTTTTAAATAATCCATAAATAATCTTAAAATCAAACACGCATAAAATTAAAATAAGCAAATATAACATTGGTTTGCTCAAACTCAAATCATAAATAAACATTACAAAGAGAATCATCTACCAGAGCAATTGTTAAAACTAATGTTCCAATCTTTAACAAAAACTCTTAATAAACTTGGACTTCATAAAATAAGAATACTCCTTCAACATAGCAATATATATTATTTATTTAATTATATTAATATATAACAGGTGTGGGATGATGCTGGGTGGGTACTATAGTATCCACATCCATACTTGTTCAATTTTACAATTCTATACCAACCCCCTACCAAGACCCAAAATTGCAAGTAAACACTTGTCCTATGTTGGGTATTTTCACGAGTACCTGTAAGGTCTAAATATACTTTTCCATCCCTACTAATAGTTCAACTCATTTGTTGCATGCATTAACTATATATATATATATATATAT